TCAATTTTTTTGAGTGGAGGACATAAATTGGACTGTTAGGTGTCTTGTATCCAAATTTGGTGTCAATTCCCCAGTGGTTTTTGAGTTCTGATGGTAGCACGAACTAACATTACATTTTTATTTATATAGATGTGCTTAATGAGGGAAAGGGGTATAAGCCAGCAAGAGAAACAATGATATTTTGGAATGGTGAAACAACATGATTTGGTTGGTCCTGGTGAAGGGGGCACAAACTAAGGGTAAAGGGAAGAGGGGGGAAAACGGTAGAATAATAATTATAAAGAAATACAATATGTATAAGTGGATAAAAGGTGTGTGATAGAGTTATATGTAGCATAAGTTGTAATGGAAATTTAAAAATAATAAGAAATATGATTAAAGATGTTTTTGATGTTTATTTACTGTTAAATTGTATATAATATCAATCAATCAACTTTATTTATCATAGAATCATAGAATCAAAGAGTTGGAAGAGACCTCCTGGGCCATCTAGTCCAACCCCCTGCCAAGAAGCAGGAATATTGCATTCAAATAACCCGTGACAGATGGCCATCTAGCCTCTGTTTAAAAGCTTCCAAAGAAGGAGCCTCCACCACACTCCGGGGCAGAGAGTTCCAATGCTGAACGGCTCTCACAGTCAGGAAGTTCTTCCTCGTGTTCAGATGGAATCTCCTCTCTTGTAGTTTGAAGCCATTGTTCCACGTCCTAGTCTCCAGGAAGCAGAAAACAAGCTTACTCCCTCCTCTCTGTGGCTTCCTCTCACATATTTATACATCTTTATTTATACCCCGCTACCATCTCCCCAAGGGACTCGGTGCGGCTTACTTGAGGCCGAGCCCAGAATACAACAATACAAGCAATAACAAGAACAATACAAGCAATTAAAATCAAACAAAAAACAATAAAACAAGAACATAAGCATTAACAGTAAGACATACTCTTTTGTCTAAGATACTGTATAAAGAGAGAAGAATGTATGCTTATACATTTTGTTGGACAAATTTATAAATAAAATCTTTAAAAATATTTTTTAAAAATTAAAAAAGAAAGAAAAGAATCCATTAATCTTATAAAAGCATTTTCCCCTGAAATATTTGTTAATCTCTCCTACAGATATATAGGCATTTCCCCCTGCAAGCCTTTGCAATCCCTATGAACTTATATAGTATGCACTGGTGAAACTGGGGGACACCTGCTCGGATCCCTGGCCTTTGTCCTGTTGGGTCCTGCAAGATTCAATTTGTCTCCCATGCTATTTAACATCTACATGAAACCGCTGGGAAAGGTTATCCGAAGTTTTGGAGTACGGTGCCATCTCTATGCAGATGACACCCAACTCCACTACTCTTTTCCATCAGAATCCAAGGAAGCCCCGAGGATACTGGACCAGTGCCTGGCTGCTGTGATGATCTGGATGAGGGCAAACAAGCTGAAGATTAATCCCGACAAGACAGAGGTCCTCCAGGTCAGTCGTACGTCTGATTGGGGTATTGGGTGGCAACCTGTGCTTTGCGGGGTTGCACTCCCCTTGAAGTCACAGGTCCGCAGTTTGGGGGTCCTCCTAAATTCAGCGCTGCTGCTTGATGTGCAGGTATCGGCGGAGGCTGGGAGGGCCTTTGCACAATTAAAACATGTGCACCAGCTGCAACCATACCTTGTGAGGTCTGACTTGACCATGGTGGTCCACGCCTTAGCTACCTCTAGACTGGACTAATTAATGCACTCTATGTGGGGCTTCCTTTAAGACGGCCCAGAAACTTCAATTGGTCCAACGTTCGGCAGCCACACTACTAACTGGGGCGAATTACAGGAAGCGGCCAACCCCCCTGTTTAAGGAGCTTCATTGGCTGCCGTTCATTTTCCGGTCCCAATTCAAGATGCAAGGTTATCACCTATAAAGCCCTAAACAGTTTGGGACCCGCCTACCTTTGTGATCGCATCTCCTTCAACAAACCTGCACATTCCCTCCGATCCTCGGGGGAGGCTCTCCTCTCACCGTTTCCTCTATCACAGGCACGACTTGTAGGAACGAGAGAGAGAGGCTTCTCCACTGTGGCCCCCCGGCTATGGAACTCGCTACCTGGTGAGATTAGGCAAGCCCCCACCCTAGCAGCCTTTAAGAAAGATCTAAAGACTTGGCTTTTCCAATGTGCCTTTGGAGAGTGACCATATATTCCAGTCCTGTTGTTTCACCTACACTGTTTCCCTCATATTGTACTTTCCCCCACCTTATTGAAAGTCTAATTCCACCTTTCAGTCCTCTACAAGCTCCTCCCCCGCAAATGTACCTTTTTATTGCTATCTCATCCATTTTTTGTTTTATCATTTTATGTCGTGCATTTGGCCCGTCCACTGTGTTTTATTTTCCATTATGTTATTTTGTACTGTTTATTTTACTTGATTGGTTTATTTATTTTATTGTGATGTTATTTTGTTGTTTATATTTTATGTTGCTGTAATGTATCTCTGGGCTTGGCCTCATGTAAGCCGCTCCGAGTCCCCTTTGGGGAGATGGTGGCGGGGTATAAATAAAGGTTATTATTATTATTATTATTATTATTATTATTATTATTATTATTGATCGGAGCCCCCGGTGGCGCAGTGGGTTAAACCCCTGTGCCGGCAGGACTGAAGACCGACAGGTCGCAGGTTCGAATCCGGGGAGAGGCAGATGAGCTCCCTCTATCAGCTCCAGCTCCTCATGCGGGGACATGAGAGAAGCCTCCCACAAGGATGATAAAAACATCAAATCATCCAGGCGTCCCCTGGGCAACGTCCTTGCAGACGGCCAATTCTCTCACACCAGGAGTCACTCCTGACACAACAAAAAATTATTATTATTATTATTATTATTAATCTATATACATTAATTTTATATATGAATTTCCCCTCATTTGTTTGCAGATAGATATGAATATAAATATATAGGGCTTGCAAATAATATGCACACACTCTTATAGAGAGAGAGATGTCTAGATAGATATAAACACAGATGTTTAGGGCTTGCAAATATTGCAGGAGGGAAATGCACATATACAGAGAGAGTATTTGCAAACGTTTCAGGGGGAAATGCATATGTGAAATTAGTATATATAATTATAGATCTATATCTAGCTCTGCATTGTTTATATAGGCATTGAATGTTTGCCTGTTACTATGTTGGAAGCTGGCCTGAGTCCCCATGGGGAGATAGGGTGGGATACAAATGAAGTTTATTATTATTATTATTATTAATAATAATAATAATAATAATAATATAAGGTTATAGTTGATATCATATTGTTTTTATTGACCCTACTTTTCCACTTACAGTGCTAGTTTACTGTTTTTTCTTTAAAAGATGGTAAATATTCAAAAACATTTAACTTACTGATGCCTCAATTAATGTAATTTTATTGGTGTCTATTTTTATTTTGAAATTTACCAGTAGCTGCTGCATTTCCCACCCTCAGCTTAGACTCAAGTAAATACGTTCTCCCAGGATTTTTGTGGTAAAATTAGATGCCTCGGGTTAAATTCAGGTTGGCTTATACTCAAGTATATACGGTAGGTCATTTAAACAGCAAACCTGCTGTCAGGGCAAGGACCATCATTGTCATCTCAAATATCAAAATATCCACTCTAGCCAGTCTCCCTCAACAGAACTTTTAAGAAACTGTATCCAATGAAACCAGATGAGTTATAAAAAACCGATACTCGATTTCAAAAAGCTGGCCTAAAGCTAAGACAGAAAGATAAAATGCTTTTGGTGCATTATGATGCTTAACTTGGTATGCCAAAGACAATTTCAAAAGAGCCAAAAATCCCGAACTCAGGGTTTATAGTGCAAGAATATCTGGAAGGATGCAAACGACCCACTTCTGATTTAGAGTTGTGTGAAAGGAAAGAGGAAGTAAACACTGACCACAGGGGCTGGCTGCAGGAGGTTGGGATTCACCAGAACTGCAAGGTCCTCAGATTTCCCCTTTGAGCGCTGCTTTGGTTTGGTCAAGGTGCCACTGTTAATAGCTTCAATAGTTTCGTCCAACCTGCAAGGACAATCAAGCAGTTTAAATTATTCTTTATACAGACAAGCTACACTTTCAGCTGATTTCACAGGCTCCTCTCACCTCCATTGCTACATAAAACTTCACTACCTAAGTCACCCCAAAGTCAGCTTGTCCGGTTGGGAGTTTGAACCTGTGTTTCCTTGGTTTTAGCTGAGTGGGACTGCTTTGACCAGGGACCGCTTTGAGCAGGGACCCCTTTGACCAGGGGCTTTGACTAGGGACCATTTGACCAGGGACCACTTGAATAGGGACCCCTTTGACCAGGGACCGCTTTGAACAGGGACCGCTTTGACCAGGGTTCCCTATGACCAGGGACTCCTATGACCAGGGACCACTTGACCAGGAGCCGCTTTGACCAGGGGCCCCTTTGACCAGGGGCTGCTTTGATCAGGGGCCAATTTGACCAGGGACCCCTACAACCAGGGACCCCTTTGACCAGGGGCCGCTTTGACCAGGGACCACTTGACCAGGGACCACTTGAATAGGGACCCCTTTGACCAGGGACCGCTTTGAACAGGGACCGCTTTGACCAGGGTTCCCTATGACCAGGGACTCCTATGACCAGGGACCACTTGACCAGGGGCCCCTTTGACCAGGGGCTGCTTTGATCAGGGGCCAATTTGACCAGGGACCCCTACAACCAGGGACCCCTTTGACCAGGGACTGCTTTGACCAGGGACCACTTGACCAGGGACCACTTTGAACAGGGACCGCTTTGACCAGGGTTCCCTATGACCAGGGACTCCTATGACCAGGGACCACTTGACCAGGAGCCGTTTTGACCAGGGGCCCCTTTGACCAGGGACTCCTTTGATCAGGGGCTGCTTTGATCAGGGGCCAATTTGACCAGGGACCCCTACAACCAGGAACCCCTTTGACCAGGGGCCGCTTTGACCAGGGATCCCTACGATCAGGGACCCCTTTGACCAGGGACCCCTTTGACCAGGGACCACTATGACCAGGGACCACTTTGACCAGGGACCATTCTCCAAGATCAGTGCCAAAAGAGTTACAAATCAATTTTTGGTCAACTTTAGATTCAGTTTGGTTATTTGGGGTGCTGATTCAGAAAACTGCATTGGATAGACCACATCAGCTTTAGTTTCTGATACAGAACATATGCGATCCAGAAGTCGCCACCTGCTTGCCCACAGAAAACATAAAATATATAAACAACAAAATAACATCAAAATAAAATAAATAAACCAATCAAGTAAAATAAACAGTACAAAATACCATAATGGAAAATAAAACACAGTGGGCGGGCCAAATGCACGACATAAAATTATAAAACTCTGGATGAGATAGCAATGAAAAGGTACATTTGTGTTGGAGGAGCTCGTAGGGGACTAAAAGGTGGAATTAGACAAACAAACCCACAAAGTGAGTCCACTACTAAAAAATCTTCATAAGTTGTTCTTCTGACAATCAACAGAGATTATATGGGAACAGACAGCACCAAATATATGAAGTTGGAAACAGAAAGTTTGACTACACAAAGCATGCTCTAATTCAAGAGATCCAAAATAATGAGACAATTTACACATTTTAGCCTGTCACGGTTTTATATAGGGTTAATAATGGAGTATATTTTCTTGCAGGGCTTTTAGGATCAGGTACTTGGCAAGATGCCTATAGCATCACAAGTGTTTCCGTTCTAAATACATTCTGTTCTGATCGGTGCTGTCTGTTTAGTTGACTGAAATGCCACACAGCACTGAAAGTGAGAGATATATAAATAGCAGAAGTACACTAGAAGCTTGGAAACTTCCTTCCTCTGCTGTCAAAAATAAGGCAACAAGAAAATGTAAAATAATACATCCACTTTGACTGAAAAAGGAGATGGCTGTCAATCTATCATACTGACACCTTGAAATGACTGCCCTTCCACAAAGATACTCACTTGCTGTGATACTCCGCCATGCTGCCTTGATCTTCCAGGACCTGCCGTCCAGCAAAGTCAATTGTGATCTTCTTGGAGAGCCGCGAGGCATGCCTCAGTTCCCGCAGCTCCTTCTCTCTCTTTTCCAGGGCCTCCCGCTCCTGCTTGGAGAGCCACTGGTTGGAGTCGGTGGCAAAGTAGTCCGACTCGTCATCAATCACCTGGGTTCTGCGCACACTGGAGAGCGAAGGGAGACGGGTCCACAATTGACCCCGGAAATATTGTTATAAATACAAAGGGTTGTTTTCTAATACTTTTGGCCTATCTAGCCTAGCTTGTCTACTCTGACTGGCAATTGGCCTCAAGATTTCAAGGGAAAATCCATCCCATGATATTCTACTTAAACCTCACCTCAGTTGCTGTATTTTTTTACTATTGCATTTCCCCCAAAATAAGGCCAGGTCTTACCATATATACTGTATATACTGGAGTATAAGTCGACCTAAATATAAGCCAAGGCACCTAATTTTACCACAAAAAACTGGGAAAACGTATTGACTCAAGTATATGTTTTCCCAGTTTTTTTGTGGTAAAATTAGGTGCCTTGGCTTATATTCAGGTCGACTTATACTCGAGTATATACAGTATCTGCAAAATTCACTCTTGGCACTATTAAACTTATCACACATCTGACTTGCAAGAAGCTCAATGTGTTATCATATTCCTGTGTACTTCACAACCTAATGAGTTGTTATGTAAGACTCGACTAATAATAACTCCGTAGGGAACTTAGGGGAAGAAAGCACTACCCACAGTGCCTTAATTATCAATGCTTCATGACTACATTATTTATCACTGAGGAACTTTTATATCCTGTTTTTACATTTTACAAAGTGTATTCCAATAATAATAGAGTAACATCATAAATGTAATAGAAATAATACCAATACTAATAGAGTAAAACAATGGAAATATATTAACAGTAATAATAGAGTATAATAATAAATTTTAATAATAAATAAAAACAAAACAATAAATGCAATAATAATAACAAATAGAGTAAAATAATGCAATAATAATAGAGTAAAATAAATGTAATAAAATAATAAGAGTAAAATAATGTAAATATAATAATAGGGTAAAATAATAAAAGTAATAATAATAAATGTAATAATTATAATAAATGTAATAATAATAATAATAATAATAATAATAATAATAATAATAATAACAGAGTAAAATAATAAATAACTGTATTTATTGACTCGAGTACAGTAAAATCCAATTAGATTGTGGAGCCAACTACTATACTGAATGTACTATTAACTCTATAAGGTAAAGGTGAAGGTTTTCCCGACATGAAGTCCAGTCATGTCCGACTGGTGCGTGGTGTTCATCTCCATTCCTAAGCCGATGAGTCGGCGTTGTCCGTGGACACCTCCAAGGTCATGTGGCCAGCATGACTGCATGGAGCGCTATTACCTTCCCGCCGGAGTGGTACCTATTGATCTACTCACATTTGCATGTTTTTGGACAGCTAGGTTGGAAGAAGCTGGGGCTAACAGCTGGAGCTCACCCCGCTCCCCAGATTCAAACCACCAACCTTTCATGGAGCACCATTACCTTCCCACCAGGGCGGTACTTATTGATCTACATTTATTAATTACTTATTTATTTGCTACATTTGTATACCGCCCCTCTCAGCCCGAAGGCGACTCGAGGCGGTTCACAAAGCAACAATTCAGGTTCACAAGGCAATAATTCAATTCCCAATAATATCATAAAAGCATTTACAACATTTAAAAACATTCACACACACACACATACATACATATATATATGTGCATGTTTTTGAACTGCTAGGTTGGCAGAAGCTGGTGCTAACAGCGGGAGGTCACCCCGCTCCCTGGATTCGATCCGCCAACCTTCGGTCAGTGAGTTCAGCAGCTCAGCGGTTTAACCCGCTGCACCACTAGGGGCATATTAACTCTATAAATATGTCTAATTCAGTCTCCCACATAAAGTTTTGTGGCTATCCATGGCCAATTCTCTCACACCAGAAGCGACTTGCAAGTCCCTCCTGACATGAAAAAAAACTATTCATGGCTTGGAAATACTAAAAGCAATGCTTTGTTTTACCATTTTATACAAGGGATACCGTTTTACTACATCACTGTGTATAATGGAAGTTGAGCCTCCATGAATTGTGATATCTATGAGGAGTCCTGAAAGCAAACCCCACTGTACCTTGTTCTGTCGTACTCCAGCAGCTTGTCCTTGTGTTTCACTGCCTTTTCCAGCCCTGTCTTGAGTCGAGCCTCCTGGCGAGGGAACACGTCCTTGCCAACTGCATCTACTTTCGTAGAATTTTCCCCACCTAAGAACCAGAGACACTTATGATCACCTAGGTGTATCCATTTATTGGTCCACCATTAATAGAATTGGCTGCATACACTCACCAAGCAGCAATAGAATTTTGGAAATCAGAAGTGACTACTGTGAAGTCTCGGGCTAGTTTTTACTCCTCTATTTATTTCCCTGTTTATGGCTTAAAGTATTTTCTGTTGTTCATGGGGGTTCTGTGTGGAAAGCTTGCTCCAGTTCTGTCATTTGTGAGGTTCATTCAGAATGCTCTTTGATTGTAGGTGAACTATAAATCTCAGTAACTACAACTCCCAAATGCCAAGGTCTATTTCTCTTAAACTCCATCTGTGTTCACATTTGGGCATATGGAATATTCATGCTAAGTTTGGTCCAGATCCATCATTGTTTGAGTCCACAGTGCTCTCTGGATGTAGGTGAACTACAACTCCCAAACTCAAGGTCAATGCCCACCAAACCCTTCTAGCATTTTCTGTTGGTCATGGGAGTCCTGTGTGCCATGTTTGGTTCAATTCTATCACTGGTGGAGTTCAGAATGCTCTTTGATTATAAGTAAACTATAAATCCCAGCAACTACAACTCCAAAATGGCAAAATTGTTTTTTTGAGTGATGGTCACTCCTTGGGTTAGTAGGTGTCTTGTGGCCAAATTTGGCAGCAATTCGTCCAGTGGTTTTTGAGTTCTGTTAATCCCACAAACGAACATTACATTTTTATTTATATAGATTGCTTTTGACGCAAAATAAATAAATAAACCTATAAGGGACAAATATCTTGTTAGAAAGCACTGCAAGGTGATTTTTGGGACGTTTCAATAATCAAATCAAGATAGTGAGCAAAATTACCATATTTTTATGGATGTTCATTGAGTCACAAACAAGCTGAACACCATTGATTATGTTATATAAATTTAAGGCATTTAATGTTATTTATTGTCTGGCTTTATATTTTAACTCTCTCTTGACATCTTGTAATGGCTAATCAATAATAATGAACTAAAATGATTCAACATTAGTTTCTTTTTAGAATTATTATCCTCCATTTACTACTGTGGAAACTGCAGGAACAGTTCAAAGGCTGCAGCTGGCACCATCCATCAAGGGCCAAACCAATTCGGGCCTTCACAGTCTACTCTTTTCCTCCCAATGTTCTTGTAGCCAAAGAGTATTTGAGGTTATGCCCTTCTATCCATTTACAAGAAAGTAAATCCTGTTAATCTCAATTGAATTTAGATCTCGGTAGATCTAAGAGTAGGAATATACTTTAATATTCACAAAATTGAGACTTTTAGTGACCAGAATAAAAAAAAACAAACCTATGCTCATTCAAGGGCATAGTTTTGCAAAATGAGCACTGCAATTTTATCACTGGCTCAACAAGAGGGTCTGCATAAAAACCTTCTACAATAAACTTCTCACCTGCCAAGAGTTTCTTCAATAGCTTCTGACTCTTGTTGGAGTCCCGTTGCAGGACATCCTGTTCTTCTTTGGTGCACACCTTAAGGAGAAAGAAATACGATGAAGTGAAAGGATGGAACTAAAACACCAGTGTGTTTCCATTAATTCATGCCAGTTTCTTAGACTTAGGAAAGCCATTTTGACCTTTCAGAATAAGGGAAATTTATTTATTTATTTATTTACTTCACTTGTATACCACTCTTCTCAGCCATCAGACGACTCAGAGCGGTTAACAACCAGTATCAACAACACAGTACAAAATCATTAATCATTTAAAACAGTAATATCAATTAATTAACATCAAAACATCAATACAACAATACAGCAAAGCAACAATCCATCAAGTCTCATCAACAGAATCAGCATCCGATCTCGTTGTCCATTAATCCATATTCCAGTAATCAATCAATTGCACTGCTTAGTTGAAAGCCTGTTTGAAGAGCCAGGTCTTCACTCTCTTCCTGAACGCCAATAAGGAGGGGGCCGATCTAATGTCTGTAGGAAGGGCGTTCCACAGCCGGGGGGCCACTACTGAGAAGGCCCTGTCTCTCGTCCCCGCCAGGCGTGCTTGTGAAGCCGGCGGGACCGAGAGCAGGGCCTCCCCAGACGATCTTAACGTCCTATGCAAAAGTAAACCATAACATGAAAATATGCAAAAGTAAACCATAACATGATACTTTTGAACTGTGGTGTTGGAGGAAATAATAATAATAATAATAATAATAATAATAATAATAATAATAATCTTTATTTATATCCCGCCACCATCTTCCCAGTGGGGACTTGGAGCGGCTTACATCGGGCCAAGCCCGGACAACATATTACAGCGGAATAAAACCAAAACATAGACAACAAACAACATCATCAATAATAATAATAATAATAATAAAACTTTATTTATACCCCGCTACCATCTCCCAAGGGACTCGGTGCAGCTTACATGAGGCCGAGCCCACAATACATCAATACAACCACAATACAAAGCAAAATACAAATACTAATACAAAGCAATTAAAATAAAACTCATACATAAATAGCATAAACATTMAACAATAGCACAAAACACGTTTAAAATCTATGGCTGGGCCAAATGTAATTAAAGTTAAAAAATAATGCTGGGCATGAACAAGACAGAGGAGGTGGGGCATTGGTGGAAGCGTATAAGCAATCATAAATTGGTATAAAGTGCTTTTAGAGGACATAATGCTAAGGGTTCATTATTCTGGGAAGGCACACTGGAACAAAATTACATAGAAAGAAAAAAAAATCCAGTAAACACAGTCACAATAACAGTGGGCGGGCCACATGTTCAGGATAAAACAATTAAAAGACTCTAATGAGATAAAAATAGGAGCAGGTTGTTTGCAGGGAGCTCATAAAAACAAACAGAGTTGTGAAACTAAACTTCCCATTTGGAGGGCGCATACTCCAGTGGCAGAAGRGTTAAGGGGAGCAATAATATCATATTGTACACCTACTTGCCAAAGGTGCTGCGGAAGAGCCAGGTTTTAAGGTTCTTTCTGAATGTTTCCAGTGAATGGGCTTTCCTGATCTCTCCAGGTAATGAGTTCCAGAGTCGGGGGGCCACAAAGGAGAAGGCTCTCTCCCTTGTGCCCACAAGATGAGCTTGTGAGATTAGTAGGGGCAAAAGGAGGGCCTCCCCCGAAGATTGAAGGGCCAGGGTTGGTACATGGAGAGAGATACGGTCATGAAGTAGGTGGGTCCCAAACTCTCAGAAAGTTCTGGATCTGTGTGCAGCATTCAAAAATACATCACAGTCCTAGACGTTTGGGAAATGTTCGACTTGTGATTTTGTGATATGAAATCCAGCATATAGATCTCGTTTGCTGTAACATACTGTGCTTTTGTGTCAGTGAAATAATAATAATAATAATAATAATAATAATAATAATAATAATAATAATAATATCATGTTATGTATCATACTGATCTGTACACCACCCAGAAAACTTTGGTCTAAAAAGTTCAGTCAATCAGAACAGAGAAACAAGGAATAAGTCCAATCTTGAGCAAGGTAAATGAGGTGCAGAGGAGGATAAGATATAATCTTACCAGAATCCCACAGAATAAACAAGGTCCGGAGCCTTCTTGTTCGCAAACAATGCGGCCACAGGTCAGGCAGTTGTTGATGAGCTTGTGCTTCTGAGCCAGGCACTCACAAGGGTGGCGTCCTGGAAGCATCACTGCCAGTTTGTCCTGGCCTTCCTTTGTGTACAAGTTGACATATTTCGCCTTCTTCTTGGAAGAGGAGCTGCTACTGTTTAATTCCTGGCTCTTAATGGGGAGCAAGGGAATGCGTTTCAGAGGAAAAATTAAAATCGGAACCCACTGTAGTCTTCCCCAACTTAATGCCCTACAAATGTGTTGGCCTCTATTTACCCTAGTCACTGCCACACTAAAATCCAATATGTCTGGAACACAGCAGTTTGGGTAAATAGCTTTAAAACAACTTCTAAAGACGACAGCTGCGTAGCCATATCCTTAATCTCCAAGAAGCTTCAAAAATAAACCTTGTGTGGACTTTCGACCGTCCACAACATCCAAAAAGCTGCAATTACTATAATTCAAAGCAATATCTAATCAATCTACATAAATAAAAATGTAATATTCGTTTGTGGGATTAACAGAACTCAAAAACCAGTGGGCCAATTGACACCAAATTTGGACAGCATATACCTAACAACCCAATGTATGTCCTTCACTCAAAATTTTTTGATTTTGTCATTTAGGAGTTGTAGTTCTTGGGATTTGTAGTTCACCTACAATCAAAGAGCATTCTGAACTACACCAATGATGGAATTGAACCAAAGGTGACACACAGGACTCCCAAGACCAACAGAAAAAGACTAGAAGGTTTTGGTGGGCATTGACCTTGAGTTTGGGTGTTGTAGTTCACCTACATCCAGAGATCACTGTGGACTCAAACCATGATGGATCTGGACCAAACTTGGCACAAATATTTCATATGCCCAAATATGAACACAGACAGAGTTTGGGGAAAATAGACCTTGACATTTGGGAGTTGTAGTTCACCTACAATCAAAGAGCATTCTGAACCCCACCAATGATAGAATTGAACCAAACGACGGAATTGGGGCAAATTTCCCACACAGAACCTCCATGACCAACAGAAAATACTTAAGGCCACCCAGTCCAACTCCCTTCACACAAGAAAAAGTCATCAAATCCCTCCTGACAAAGAGCCACCCAGTAATAGATATAGATAGATATGATTCTCTCTCTCTCACACACAGTTATAATATCATAGATTTGAAAGGGACCCCTAAAGAAGACAATGATATGTTGCATATTCCAGAGCAGGTAAACCAGACAATCTCCGCATCAACACAAAGAAACAACAAGAAATACTGTTTACCCAGAAGCAGAGATTACCTAGATTAGAAACCATTACTTTATTTTACAGATCACCAGACTGGGCCACAGCAACATGTGGCAGGGGACAGCTGGTGAACAAATAAGTATCCTTGTTAGGATTATAGATCCTCTCACCAAGACACTTCTTCTGGGATAGAGATATGCAATAGCTGCAAGAGAGAATTCCTAAAATAGCTTATGTCTCACTTGCTCCTGTGATTTGTTGGTATTAATAACCTAGTCATAACCTATCCTTTGTTGATTCTGAATCCCAGAATCTTTTGTCTACAACAAAGGCACCTACCTTGGCTAAATCAAGAGGGGTTTTCACTTCCTCCACCGGCTGCTCAGCTTCTACATAAACAGGTGCTTCCAATTTGTTTCTCCCTTTTCGTCTTCCTCTCTTGGCCTGGTCTCCTGGGCGAGGAACCTCTACAGCACCTTAAGGTTTATATAAAAAGCAACAAACTCAATAGTTGCTTGCACCTCAGGTCTCACTTCATCCCTTCTACTTGTAATATCTGAGGAAACATATCGCACAATACCACTGTATTGATTTAGAGTCCCATTTCCTGTTAGCAGAGATCAACTCACAACCATTGCAGGTTTTGACCTACAAAGCCCTGAACGGTTTGGGACCCGCCTACCTGTGTGACCGCATCTCCGTCTACGAACCCACGCGACCTCTTCGATCTTCCAGAGAGGCCCTTCTCTCGCTCCCACCCGCATCGCAAGTGTGACTTGTGGGGACGAGGGAGAGGGCCTTCTCTGTAGTGGCCCCCCGGCTCTGGAACTCACTCCCCAGAGATATTAGACAAGCCCCCTCGCTGGCAATCTTCAGGAGGAACCTGGAATTCCAATGTGCCTTCAATGATCAAATGTAGGACACTCTCTGTCCAAAATGGTTTGTGCAATTAAAACCTTTCTCATCCCGGTTTCCCCTTCACGACAATTTTACATTGCATATCTCCAAGTGTTTTTAAAATATTTAAAATTTTCATTCTTCAAGTGGCCCTGCCCTGTGGAATTTCTTGTGTTTGATTATTGATTTTATATTGCTGTGTTGTTTATTATATTGTTTATTATATTGGTTTTTGGATTTTATGTTTTTGTGTAATACTGTGCTCATTGTGTTGATGGGCGTGGCCTCATGCAAGCCACCCCGAGTCCCCCTGGGGGAGATGAAGCAGGGTATAAATAAAGTTTATTATTATTATTATTATTATTATTATTATTACTATTATTATTTAACATTGAATTTGCCAAAACATTAAATAAAACAACAGAAGCAGTATCACAGAATTATAGCAGCCTTGTGTCTTCCATACTGTTTAATGAAATTGCAGGAACAGTGCTATAAGGAGTGGAACTCTCAAAAAGAATGGGAATTTTATTGTGGGCATGAGGAATGAGTAAGACCATTATGTGCTAATATTTAGTTAGTACTAATACATCATTCCAAAAAGAAGCCCTCTTTGCCGTTAAAAGCACCCGCTTTATTTATTTATTTACTTATTTACTTACTTACTATATTTATATACCACCCCTCTCAGCCCAGAGGCAACTCGGAGTGATAATTTGGTAGGCCTTTGAACTGATCCATCATGGCTCTTTTAATGTTCCCATTTGATCCTGAAATAGCTGTTTTTGTGGATAGCGCCTCAGTGTTTGTGTCCACTCACCATCTTTCTTCCGATACAGAGGTAGACGGTCAGAGGTTGGCTGACAGGACATCCGCCATTTGGCTACTAGCTCTTCCACAAAGTGCTTCTTCTTGCCATCCGTCCCCTGGATCAGGTCAGCAACATACTCTCGAATCTCTTCCTCATTCTCAATAGACAAGATATACCTAAGAAGGAAGAGGGGGGAAAGGAAAGCTTGTATGTATGCTTTACTCAGAAGAAAAACAAAACAAAAGTGTGTGTGTGTGTGTGTGTGTACAAGCATGCCTTCAAATAGCTTGTCAACTTATAGAGAACCATTCATTTCGTAAGATTTTCTTAGGCAAGGAATACTCAGAGGTGGTTTTGTTGGTTCCTTCCCCAGAAATATAGCCTGCAGCTCCTGGAATTCGTTGAAGTTTCTCATCCAAGTACAGACCAGGGCTGATCCTGCTTAGCTTCCAATATCACATGGGATCTGGTACTGAAGAAATTTCCCTTTGAAGGCAGCTTTAAAAGAAATCTCAAGTATATTTAAGTCCAAATCAATGCACAATTTATTTATTTATTTATTTACCACTAGCTGTACCCGCCACGCGTTGCTGTGGCCAACCTTCCCTCCTTCTTTCTCTCCTTCTTCCCTTTTCTTCTTTCCTTCTCTCCTTCCTTCCTTCTCTACCTCTTTTCTTCCTCCCTTTTTCTTTTCCTTCCCTCTTTCTTCCTTCTCTGCCTGTTTTCTTCCTTCCTTTGCTTTTTGCTTCCAGCCTTCCTTTTGTCTTTCCTTCCCTCCCTCTTTCTCTTCTTCCTTCACTCCCTTTCCTTTTTTCTTTCCTTCTCTCCTTCCTTCTTTCTCTCCGCATTTCTTTCCATCCCTCTTCTTTTCCTCTTTCTCTCCTTTATTCCTTCTCTACCTCTTTCCTTCCTTCCTTCTTTCTTTTCCCCTTCCTTCCCTCCCTCTTCCTTCCCTTTTTTCTGTATGTCATTTATCTTTTTGTCATTTCGTCATCTTTTGGGGTTTTTTAAGTCCTTTCCATTTGGGGGGGGGGGAGTATGAGTGATGGTCACGCATTGGTCTGTTAGGAGTGTTGTGTCCAAATTTTGTGTCATTTCATCCAGTGGTTTTTGAGTTATGTTAATCCCCCAAAAGAACTTTACATTTTTATTTATATAGATATTTGTATAAGAAACAATCATGGCCAGCTATTTATTTACTATTTATTTACTATACTTGTATATCGCCCTTCTCAGCCCTTAGGCGACTCAGGGCGGTTTACAGAGGCAACTATTCAATGCTCAAGAACATCATAAAATATTTAAAACATTAATACATAGTATAAAACCAAACAAAAGTAATAAAAARGTAAGCCATTTGTGTCTCCTAATTAAAAATGTGTATTCCAAGTAGACTGGAATGTACTTAGTCCTAATCTTTTTTTATATTGGTTTTAAACCACTTCATTGGATGTGTTGCAATAGCAGATTCCCAGATTAGTTTAGTGTTTACACTTTATTTTATTTTTCTGGTTATTTAATATTTAATGTTTATTTTACTTAAGTGATATTTGTCTTTAGTGTTCTAATGCAGTTCAAATCCTATGTAAAATCATACTACATATTTTTGACATTAATATTGAAGTCTGAAATATATACAGAAAGGCTTTACTTTCTGTACACAAGAGACAAGAGACCCCATAAAAGAAACACATAATTTACTTGATCAAACAAGTTGTAGGCTGCAAGCTTACCAAAGAAAGCGCCATACACAGTGGCCAGCTTGCCTTTATATAGAAAGCAGAAAACTTTTACACATACACTTTCCTCTCAGGCGACTTGAGCATGTGTTTCATAAAACATTATGTTGTGCAGTTTTTATCTCTATCCCTTTCCCTCCCTTCTGTTCTCAGGCGCTGTTAAGACATTACCTCCCTTTCTGATATACCGTGCCTTTGGGTCATCCCCAATTTCCAATTTTCTCTCTGGCTCATTCTGCTTTGAAGTTTCAGCCTTAACAGCCTGTTTCTCTATTTGCTTTGAAGTCGAGTCAAGTGGCCCATTCCCTCTGAAAGGTATTACAGGGTTGCTGTGAGTTTTCTGGGTTGTATGGCTATATTCCAAAAGCATTCTCTCCTGATGTTTCGCCTGCATCTATGGCAGGCATCCTCAGAGGTTGTGAGTCTGTTGGAACTGTGGTCTGAGTTTCCAACAGACCTCACAACTGGGTTGTTGTAGGTTTTTTCGGGCTATATGGCCATGTTCTAGAGGCATTCTCTCCTGATGTTTCGCCTGCATCTGTTTATTTATTTATTTAAAACATTTATATTCTGCCCTTCTCACCCCGAAGGGGACTCAGGGCGGAGCACAGCATATACACAGCAAACATTCAACGCCGGGACACAAATTCACATAGAATACATACATTAAAAAACATTTATCAAAATATTAAAATACACCATTTAAAACCGTCCTAGTCATCCACGTCAAATCTAATTGGCCTGGTAATCACCAGGATTGTGGCACAGCTGGCTGAGTGTCAGCTGCATTAAGATCACTTCTGACCAAAAGGTCATGAGTTCGAAGCCAGCCCGGGTTGGAGTGGGTTTCCAACTAATTGTGTAGCCTGTTGTCGACCTTTGCAACCTGAAAGACAGTTGCATCTGTCAAGTAGGAAAATTAGGTACCACCTTGTGTGTGGAAGCTAAATTAACTAATTTATGAGACCATAAAAAAGACTCCAGCAAAACACTCCAGCGGGGAAGCATGCGGGGAATGCGAAAGTACTTCATCAGTGTTGCAGATGGACGATGAAAGCGACAGCTCCCCTGGCGGCCAGAAAAAGTTAAATAGCCTCTGTGTTTATCTGTATACGTTGTATGTCAATTGGCATTGAATGTTTGCCATATATGTGTACATTGTAGTCTGCCCTGAGTCCCCTGCGGGGTGAGAAAGGCGGAATATAAATACTGTAAATAAATAAATAAATAAATAAATAATATTTCCTATTGCTGCTTTATTGCCCTGTTCCGAAAGCTTGGTCCCACAGTCAAGTTTTGACCATCCTTCTAAAGGACAGGAGGGTGGGGGCTGACCTGATCTCACCAGGAAACGAGTTCCATAACCGGGGAGCAATCACCGAGAAGGCTCTGTCTCTCGTCGCCACCAATCATGCCTGTGACAATGGTGGGACGGAAAGCAGGGCCTCCCCGAAGGATCTTAAATCTGTGCCTTCAAGGGAAGTGTGACCCCATCCAGCATAGGTTGCAACCCTATACCCTGTTTGGCCTTGCGACTGACCAAAAGGATCTCTGTCTTGTCTAGATTCAACTTCAATTTGCTTGCCCTCATCCAGACCATCACAGCGGCCAGGCACCGGTTCAGGACCTCACTACCACTAAGGATGCTTGCCATAGATGCAGGCGAAACGTCAGGAGAGAATGCCTCTAAAACATGGCCAAATAGCCCGAAAAAAAACCCCTACAACAACCCAGTGATTCTGGCCATGAAAGCCTTCAACTAGACCTCACAACCTCTGAGGATGCCTGCCACAGATGAAGGCAAAACGTTATGCTTCTGGAGCATGGCCATATAGCCCGAAAAACCTACAACAACCCTGTAAAACAACCCTGACGTTTCGCCCACATCTATAGCAAGCATCCTCGGAGGTTGTGAGGTCTGTTGGAAACTAGGAAAATGGGGTTTATATATCTGTGGAATGACATCTAGGAAGGGAGAAAGGCTTTCATGGCTGGATTCACTGGGTTGCTATGAGTTCTTTAGGCTGGATGGCCATGTTCCAGAAGCATTATCTTCTGACGTTTCACCCACATCTATGGCAGGCATCCTCGGAGGTTGAGGTATCTGTCGGAAACTTGGCAAGTGAGGTTTATATATCTGTGAAATGTCCAGGGTGAGAGAAAGGCTTTCATGGCCAGAATCTCTGGGTTGCAGTGAGTTTTCTGGGCTGTATGGCCATGTTCCAGAAGCATTCTCTCATGACGTTTCACCTGCATCTATGGCAAGCATCCTCAGAGGTTGTGAGGTCTGTTGGAAATTCGGAAAAACAGGGTTTATATATCTGTGGAATGTCCAGAGTGGGAGAAAGAACTCTTGTCTGAATGTTGCAATTTACTGCCTTAATTAGCATTGCAGCTTCAAAGCCATTAAAATGAACAAAACCTGGCTACCAATATTTTTTAAAGAAATCTAAATTCAGGACAGTAAATGAAGAGCAACACTAAAAGAACAGAGGAATTCCAGACAATAAATCAATCAGGGCCAGCTAACACCTCCCAGCAAAGGGTCCCCCAGGCAGCAACCAACCAGGCTTTGAAGCTGCAAGTCCATTAAGCTGGGAGGAGAGGTGGGCAAAAAATAAAATAATTATTATTTTAATATTATTATTATTATAAACTTTATTTATACTTCACCACCATCTCCCCAAAGGGGACTCGGAGCAAGTTACAATTAATAATAATAAATCTATATAAATAAAAATGTAATGTTCGTTTGTGGGATTAACAGAACTCAAAAACCACTGGGAGAATTGACACCAAATTTGGACACAAGACCCCTAACAACCCAATGTATGTCCTCCACTCAAAAAAATTGATTTTGTCATTTGGAAGTTGTAGTTGCTGGGATTTATAGTTCACCTACAACCAAAGAGCATTCTGAACCCCACCAACGATGGAATTGAACCAAACTTGGCACACAGAACTCCCATGACCAACAGAAAATACTGGAAGGGTTTGGTGGGCATTGACCTTGAGTTTGGGAGTTGTAGTTCACCTACATCCAGAGATCACTGTGGACTCAAACATTGATGGATCGGGACCAAACTCTACATGAAGACTCAATATGCCCAAATGTGAACATTGGTGGAGTTTGGGGAAAATAGAATCTTGACATTTGGGAGTTGTAGTTGCTGGGATTTGTAGTTCACCTACGATCACAGAGCATTCTGAACCCCACCAATGATAGAATTGGGCCAAACCTCCCACACAGAACCTCCATTTGGGCCACAGCAACGAGTGGCAGGGGACGGCTAGTAATAATAATAATAATTATTATTATTATTGTTATTATTATCATTATATTCCCTTGTCATAACCATACTGCATCTCATTCATGGAAGAGAACACCATGAGATCACAGAATTGTGGCGTTGGAAGAGACCCCAAGGGCTATTCAGTCCAACTCCACTCTGCCAGGCAGGAAGACACAATCTAAGCCTTCCCGACAGATGCCCACCCACCCTCTGCTTAAAGGCCTCCCTCCTTAATTCTTCCCCGCAGCTCACTGGACAAGCTCTTCGCCGACATCCAGCCCGAAGCCGCCTCGCAGTTGCCCCATGCACCAGGGGACGAGGCCCTCGGCAGCTCCCGCCATCTCCTTCCTGGCTCCAGGCCTCTTCAAGGCCGGGCTGCGGGGAAGGAAAATCCGGTTGCACCTCCGTCACAAGCCGGTAATACATGGAGGTGTCACACACAATTCTGCCCGGTCCAGAAACAGCAGCTGCGTGTTGATAGTTCCGACCACAACAAAGGTCACCCCTATTGGTGACATTTTCTTTCCTGTGACTATGGAGGAATCATTCTACATCAGGCATGGGCTGAACATCAAGCAAAAAGTGGGTGCTAGAAACAATATCATACGAAAGAGAGATGTTGACAAGCTGGAATGTGTCCAGAGGAGGGCGACTCAAATGATCAAGGGTCTGGAAAACAAGCCCTATGAGGAGCGGCTTAAGGAGCTGGGCATGTTTAGCCTGAAAAAGAGAAGGCTGAGAGGAGATATGATAGCCATGTATAAATATGTGAGAGGAAGTCACAAGGAGGAGGGAGCAAGCTTGTTTTCTGCTTCCCTGGAGACCAGGACACGAAACAATGGCTTCAAACTACAAGAGAGGAGATTCCATCTGAACATGAGGAAGAACTTCCTGACTGTGAGAGCCGTTCAGCAGTGGAACTCTCTGCCCCGGAGTGTGGTGGAGGCTCCTTCTTTGGAGGCTTTTGAACAGAGGCTGTATGGCCATCTGTCAGGGGTGATTTGAATGCAATATTCCTGCTTCTTGGCAGGGGTTGGACTGCATGGCCCATGAGGTCTCTTTGATTCTATGATTCTATTATTCTATGAAAGCTGACTGGCACAACCTGGGGATCACAACCAGACACAGTTAAGACATCTGCCCTTGCGCTGTGCTACTCTGCTGCTGAGTACGCATGCCCAGTGTGGAACACATCTCACCACACTAAAACAGTGGATGTGGCTCTGAATGAGACATGCCGCATTATCACGGGGTGTCTGTGCCCTACACAACTGGAGAAATTACACTGCTTAGCCGGTATTGCACCACCTGACATCCGCCGGGAAGTAGCAGCCAATAGTGAAAGGACCAAGGCAGAGACATCTCCAGCTCATCCCTTGTTTGGGTATCAGCCAGCACGTCAAAGACTTAAATCTAGAAATAGTTTTCTAAAATCTACAGAGACACTCGCTGGAACACCCCAGCAAGCAAGAGTACAAAAGTGGCAGGCTCAAACCCAGAACCTCAACCAATGGCTGATACCAAATGAGAGACACCTTCCTGGGCACACAGAGGACTGGGCAACTTGGAAGGCGCTGAACAAACTGCGCTCTGGCACCACGAGATGCAGAGCCAACCTTAAGAAATGCGGCCACAAAGTGGAGTCCACGACATGCGAGTGTGGAGAAGAGGAAACCACTGACCACCTGCTGCAATGCAACCTGAGCCCTGCCACATGCACCATGGAGGACCTTCTTGCAGCAACACCAGAGGCACTCCAAGTGGCCAGATACTGGTCAAAGGACATTTAATCAACTACCAAACTCACAAATTTGTATTTTGTCTGTTTGTTTGCTTTCTTCTGTTAGAAATGTAATATAATTTGACTGGTTGTCCTGACACGGCAAATAAATAATAAATGGGCCAACTTTGGCCCTCCTCCCTCCATGTGTTTTGGACTCCAACTCCCACCTTTGCTAACAGCCTCAGACCCTTTCCTTTTCCCCCTCAGCCGCTTGAGTGGTCAGCAAGTTCAGCAGCTCAGCAGTTTAACCCGCTACACCACCAGGGGCTCCAGATTTTAATATGAACTAGCCATCCCGTTACACATTGCTGTGGCCCAGACTGTGTATGTGTTTTGTGTGTGTGTGTGTATTTGTGTATATGTGTGTTTATGTGTGTGTGTATATATATATGTGTGTGTGTGTGTGTGGGTTTGCGCATGCGTTGTAATGTAATTTTTGTTCTTTGGCTTTTTAAGTGTTTCTGTTGTGTTTTTCAGTGTTCTTTTGAGTGATGGTCATTCATTGGCCTGATAGGTGTCTTGTGTCCAAATTTGGTGTCAATTTGTCCAGTGGTATTTTAGTTATGTTAATCCCACAAACAAACATTACATTTTTATTTATATAGATTTTATAGAAATACATTTTAATATGTATAGCTGTGGTATTTTTATGATGTTTATGTGTTTTGATTATTCTGTAACCTGCCTCGAACCACGTGGAGAGTTGGGTAAGAAATACAATTATATTAATACTTCCGGTAGCGGCAAGATGGCGGGTGCCACGGTTTGCTGAGGCTCCTCAGAAACCGAACCTGTCGTATTCCTAGGTAGAGCAATAGCTCCCCCAACCCAACAGCGAGAGGCGGGTTGGAGCGTCCAGCTGGTGGGCACCTCATGGCCGTGACATTTTCCAACTCGGCAGGAGTGCTATACCAACCAGCTGCGCAGGAGACGACAAGGATACCCGACAGCCTATGTATACGCTGTACGGGCCAGCACCAGCCGCTATTTTAAGCTTAAGAACCCATAAAAGAAGTAAATAAGGAAGAAAAAAGGAGTCTGGGCAGCCGCGAGCATCGTCGGACTGAATAAGGTATCTTACATACCCGAGAGAAGCCATTTCCGAACCGTGGCACATCCCAGCGCGGTGCTGGCGGGATCCCTCCCGGCTGAGGAGCGAAGAAGAACGAAGAGTGGAGGAGAGAGGAGGAACAACGCGGAGCGGCAGCAAGGCTGTAACAGGGCCAGAAGGCCAAGAACGCGGAGCGGCAGCAAGGCTGTAACAGGGCCAGAAGGCCAAGAACCTCAACCGTTGCCAGAGAGTTACTGTTTGCCGGAAATGCTGCAAATGCTGCAGGTGTCGTAAAACATCGCAAAATATTGTAAAAACCGGCGTCAAAAACTGAAGTCGCAAATAAGTTGTAACCCAGCCGTAAAGACAGCGTACTCAGCATATCCGGCGTACCCAGCGAGGTAGCGTACTCAGCGTATTTAGCAACTACAGCCCTGCCACAGATACACTGTGTCCAATCGCGCCCATCTTTGAGGAACTACGAAGAACTGCGGAAAGATTGCTGAAGAAGCACAGAGACGCAATCGACATTCAAGAGAGAGAAGCACTAGTAAAGTAATGGTAACGCTGACGGAAAGGGACGAAAGAGCACCGAATTGACCCTGGACTAGCTAGAAAGCCAGAAAGCGGCGTACCCCTGCCTAACTAAGAGGTGACTGCGATTGGAGGTTACGGAAGATAGGGAAGAGACGGGGAGAACCTCCACTACGGCAAAGAGGCGATCTGCATGCGTTAAGAGTGTGAGTAATAAACACTGAGCAGTGAATAGTGAGTAGGGAGTAATGACTATTCTACGCTCTGCATCCCTTTCGGCTCCAGACTCTCCAGCTACAATTGTGTTTTGCTGAACTACTGTTATTGTTACTGTTAATGTTACTGTTTTTGCTAAATTGCAATCCTATTTGAAACTTAATTTGACATTGATCGATACTGACTGATACTGATATTGACTGATACTGACTGAAAGGAACTGGATTGGTCTGAGACATATTGCGAATTTGACTTGATTCCTGGCCACTTCCCGATAACCCTCTACCCTTTTACCCTATTCTATGTTGTATTCAGCTGATACTGTGATACACCTACCATAGCCAAGTTACCAATCTATGGAACGTTAGTATATAGGTGCCTTCAATGCTTTAACTGATTTATTGTAATATTCCTGGTTATTATAATAGCTTCCGGTGCAATATATCCCTCGGCCTTGACGGACTTAACTAGTATTTGAGTGATACTGGTCATAATTGGGTTTACATCGTGTAGACATTGCACCCTGTACTTTACATATCTCAAGTCGAGAATATTGCGATGTTTTTTCCTTTGTGCTTTCTCATGTACTCTTCCCTAATAATTTCTCAACGCACAAACATTATTTAGCTGATATTGTGTGAATTTGATTCCTTTGTACCCCCTGAGCACCTCTTCCTAACAACTCTTTACCTGATTAACGCCCGGTTGGGCGACAGTGTGTAGATCTGTTCCCTCTGTACCCCCTCACTACCCCTCCCCAATAATCTCCTCTTCTATAGGCCGTATCAGGCCGATATTGTGCGGATTTGCCATTTTTGCATCCTTCTTTTACCTTTTCCAATAACTCAGCAAATGAATGCCATCAACTAACCATCCTCAAAGAATAGTAAAGGATTAAGCAATACTATCGCAACAATGGCAGCTTTTCAGAAGAGTAAGACAGAAAAAGAAAAAGAAAAGGATAAGGACTTTGAGAAAAAAACCCCACTTAACACCAGAAAAGGTTCCCTTCCTGAAGAACCTACAATAAAAGATCTTATGAAAGAACTACTCAAGATACAAGCAGAAATAAAGACAATTCAAGATAATCAAGAGGCACAGAGCAAAGCTAGCAAGAACGAGACTGAGGCTATAAAGAAAGATATGAAGGACATGAAAGAAGAGTTGCAATCACTGCAAAATTTAATGAAAGAGGAGATGACTACCGTAAAAAATGAAGTAGGAAAATTAAAACAAGACAATATAGAGCTACTTAAGGACAACATCGCAATGAAGAATCATCAAGAAACAGTAAGGAAAAAAGTGAAAAACGTAGAGGAGGTGGTAGATAGAGTTGAGAGCCAGCAGGAAATGATGGAACTCAGAGAGAAAGAGACCCAACTAAGGTTTAGAAATGTGATAGAGGAAGAAGGAGAGAATATAAGAGAAGTAATAATAGACATGATTACACATATAACTAAAAGAGGAAAACAAGAGATCGATATAGAAGTCGATAGAGTCTTTAGGATACAAACATCTCACTCCAGGAAGTTCAAATCCCCGAAAGACATTATCGTACAACTGATAAAGAAGAATACTCGAGACGAAATACTCAGAGAACATTCGAAATTGCCAATACAATATAAAGGAAACAAAATTGCAATCTTAAAGGAAATTCCAATATCAGTACTTGAAAGAAGACGGAAATATTATTTTTTGACTGATGAGTTGAAAAGAAGAAATGTAAGATTCAAATGGGAAAAGAGGGAAGGTTTAACAACAACATGGAATGAAAATAAGTACTGGTTGACATCAGAAGCTAAAGCAAGAGCATT